TCCTGAAATCAGGGTCTGATGTGCAAAGGCACTGCCACCCACCAGGAAGGGGCACTCCAGTCTCAGCTCCTAAGATGGTATCCAGTCTTCCCCAGCTCCTGTTCGTGTTTCTTTTCTTTAAATGCCCACCTTTTAATAATTCCAAAACTCGAAAGCCCATTTTAGTATAAGATTCTGAATTCATCATCTGATGAGTCAACAAGTATTAAAGAGTGATCTGGTACCGGAACTGAAACTAGACGAACCCAATACTAACACAGAGACATGCATATTTATTGCTGGATGGCTGACAAATTCCATGCTGAATGCCAAAACTAAATGCAACGACATAAAAATGCATGCACCTTGCTGAAGAAATTGGGAAGCAGATCATAAAAGTTCTTTTTATAGCAATTTGTCTAACATCCGCTGCCTGAGCCCTCAGCCCTCTCCACATATAAAATCTTAAAAAAACATGCAGGAGTAAAACTTTGTGCTCGGACCCCAGGAGCCATGCCCAAGAATGCCCTGGGCTCCACACTGCATCTGCGGGAGCCCAGCCAGCGCCCACAAGCAGCTGCGGTGGACGGGCCTCGGTGGGACACTCCCACAGCAGCGGAAAATACAGTGGAAAAGTATAGATGAAGTCGAGAAGAACCTAAGAACACAACGTGGGATAATGGAATAGCAAAAGCCAGTCTCAGAAAGACACACCACTGGCAAAGGTGTAAAAACTATAGTGGTGTAAGCACATACGGCAAAATACAAAGAAAGGCAAAACAGTGAGCAACACAAGGTGTGAGGCAAGTGAGCTCATGCAACCGGCAGTGACTGCAAGATAACCAAAGCCTGCTCTCGGATTGTTGTTTGCACCTGACTCAGGTTTTATACATACATCTTACCAATTCCGTTCTCAAAAACTCATGTGAAGTCTTGGATGTAGCAGTGTTTCTTCATCATTACAACACAGAAACTAAGGTTCCACTGAGCCAGTAAACAAGAACTGTAAAACTGAAAACTATCAAAGAAAGGAAAAACTCTTTCCCAATTACTACTTACACAGTACAAAAACCAGTTTGAAATAAGGCGAGGTATTTAATCCCTAAAACTTACAAAACGCGTTTGTCCTTATGACTAACTAGAGTCTAGCTGGGGCACAGGCCACTGTCAAACAGGGTAACTAACGCCTGCTCAGCGTTTTCCAAACTGGTCAACTGAACTCCTCTCTGGAATGGCTCTCTGTCTCCTTTAGTCTTACTCTAAAAAGGTTAATTTTTCACCAGGATAAAGGCAAATTGTTGAAGAATGCTTCAAATGAAAAGAGGATTACAGAAATATTAACTCTTAATATGGTACCTGAAACAAAGCACCTGAAATTAATAGAGAAGTCAGCCACTTAGGAGAATCACCAGGTCTGTCCTGTTCCCAGGGCACGAAACAGAAGCGCCTTAATCCACTAAGCACATTAGGGCCTAACAAATTGGACTCAGTAACAAGGTTACCTAGTTCTTCCAAACAGGAATTAAGCAAAGGGGATCATTATGATTAAGCACAATCCGCCGAATACGCAATTTCTAGTTGGGGAATTCAACAGCTGATGGATGGTAAGCATCAAAATTCTTAACAAGTGAAAGGCTCGGAATCACAGGTCCAGCACTTGGCGATGCCCGGCGCGCTGGGAAGCGGCGTCTCAGACAGCGGCCCCGCGTCCCCATGGTCCCTCCCTGCGCCCAAAACCGGGCAGCTCCCTCCCGCCGCCGCCGCCAACGGGAGGCTGGGGGCACTCCCGAAATGGGAGCGGAAGCCCCGACCCACGCCGCCCTCCGCCGCGGGGACGCCCACTCGCCAGGTGACCGCGTCCCCACGCTCCGCGTTGCCCGGGCGCCACCGGGATCTCGGAGGCGGCCAGCCCAGCCCCGACCCAGTGCGGACGCGGCACAAAGGCGCGGCGCGCGGACCCCGACCCGGCCCGACCCCGGCCGCGTCCCCCGGCCCCGGCCCGCGCCCCTGCCCCCCGCCCCGCGCCCCCCGCCCGGCCCACCTCGGCCGTAGGCCTTGGCGCAGATCCACTGCAGGTTGGCGGCGATCTTGGCGCGCGCCGCGTCGTAGCGGTCCAGGGGCACGAGGTCGGCGGCGCCGTCCGGCGGGGCCTCCATCTTCCTCCAGCCCTCGGCGGCGGCGCGGCCGCCCGCGTCCACCATCTGCAGACAAAGGGCTGAGGCGGCGGCCCGGCCGCAACAAAGGCGCCGCCGCCCCTCGCCGCGCGGGGCCCGGTGCGCCCCGAGCCCCCACTCGGCCCCACAGCCGGCCCGCCGGGAGGGGCGCCCGAGCGCGGCCCCCGCCTCACCTCACAGCCGCCGCCGTCGCCGCCCCCGCGGCTGCTGCATGCTGCGGGCGCCGAGCCCGGGCGGAGGAGGAGCCGAGCCCGCGGCCCAGAGAGGCGGCGGCAGGAGGGCGCGGGCCGGGGGCGGAGGCGGGGGCGGGCGCGGGCCGGGGGCGGTGGCAGCGCGTGCGCGGCCCCGGGTGAGCGGCGGCGGCGACAGCGGCTGAGGCGGCGGCCAAGGAGCAGGAGCGCGCTCACCGCCGCGGCCTCGCACAGGCGCAGTAGGCACCGCCCGCCACCCCGCCCTCGACCCCGCCCCCAGCTGCGCTCCCTTCTCGCGCCCGCCCCGCCCCTTCCCGCAGGCGCACTAGGCACCGCCTGCAAGCCCGCGCCGGCACCGCCCCTTTCCGCAGGCGCAGTAGGTGGCACCCGCCGGCCGGTGCCCGCCCCGCCCCTTTCCGCAGGCGCAGAGAGCGTCGACCCGCCCCTCTCCGCCCCCTTTCGCAGGCCCAATAGGACCCGCCCCGGTCCGCGCCTGCTCCGCTGCTTCCATCACGTTCTGAGGCCTGCGGTGCGGGGCGCGGGATCGGCGGCGCGGGGTGGGCGGAGTGGGTTGGCGGCGGGGACCCTGCTGAGCCTGCAGCAGCCAACCCTCCGCGCCGTGCCTCCTCCCCGGCCCTGGCTCGTCCCGCCTCAGCCGCAGCCCGGCCCCCTGGCCGGCCGAGCTCTCGCCGCCTGCACCCTGGAGACCTCGTGGGTGTGGCCGGCGGCGACCTCGGCAGGCGACAGCCCGTGGACGGGCACCAGGTGGACGTGCCACGGTCTCCAGGCCCCAGTCCCGGTGCAGGGAAGATGGGCGTTTGGACCCCTGAGGCAGAAACAGGTGCAGCGCAGCCGGCGCATCCCCCGGAAGGGACGCTGACTTCGTTCCCCTGGAGCCTGCGTCGGGGCCCGCGCTGGGCTGAGAATTACGGGAACGCCGTGAGAGTTTGCATTCCGAGGATTTGGTCTGAGAACCTCATGGCCGGAATAGAGAACTGCCCCCGGGAGAGCCGGTCCACGTGCCGCCCACCGGCGCCGTGACGGCAGGGAGAGGTGGAGCTTCCCGGGAGCAGGCACCCGGCGCGGGGCTCCCAGCCTGTCTGTTCCTGGTCGAGACACCCTGTGCCAGAGTCGGAGCGTGTAGGAAATGCCGAGTGCCCAGAGGACCCGGGCAGTCCGTCATTCACATACCAACCCACGTGCAGGCTTCAATTCAATGTTGAAGCCGTTTGGGGCTAGGCTTTTTTGAGGACTTATTCGAGTTGTAGTTTTTTGGTTACTAATTGAGACTCTTCACTTGTTATAGGTCTGTTGAGATTGTCTATTTTTTCTTGAGTCAGCCGTCTGAAAAGAACACGAGGTGGACAGGGCGGAACGGTCAAGGAAAGCCACAGGAGGAGGGCACTTATTTGAGCAAAGACCGGCGGGAAGTGGGCGTCGAGGGTGAGGATATCTGCAGAAGAAGTGTCTTAAGCAGGGGGCACGGCAGACAGAGCCTCTGAAACACGAGAGCCTGGAGTGTAAGAACCAGCAGAGGCCGCTAAGTCGAGAACCCATAGCTGGAAGGACTGGTGGGAAATGGGAGGTGGGGACATGGAGGGATGCGGGCAGGTCCTGCACAGTCAGAACTGTGGCCCCTTCTCTGCAGGAAATGGGCAGCCTTCGGAAGACTGAGCCAAGGGAAGGATGTGACTAAGCCTTTAAAAGGGTCATTCTGACTCCTGGGTGAAGAACAGACTAGGAAGGGCTGAGAAGGAGGCAGGAGGCCATCCACTGTCAGATGGGATGTGGAGTGTGACCTAGAAAGGTCAAGGGTGACTCCAAGGGCTTTTTGTATATTGATCTTTTATCCTGCAACCTTGTTAAACCCGTTTATTAGTTCTTCTAGTCTTTTAGTGGCATTTATTAGTTCTTCTAGTCTTTTAGTGGATTCCTTGGGATTTTATACAAAAGCGTGTCATCTGTGAATAGAGATCATTTTACCTCTTCCTTTCTAATCTGGATGCCTTTTATTTCTCCTTCTTGCCTAGCTGCCCTGGCTAGAACCTCCAGTACAATATTGACTAGCAGCAGCGAGAGTAGACATCCTTGTCTTGCTCCTGATCTCAGGGAGAAGGCATCCAGTCTTTCGCCATTGGGTATGATAGCTGTGGGTGCTTCAAAAATAGGTTTTATCAGGCTGGGCGCGGTGGCTCACGCCTGTAATCCCAACCCTTTGGGAGGTCGAGGCAGCCGGATCACTTGGGGTCCAGAGTTTGAGACCAGCTTGGCCAACATGGACAAATCCCATCTCTACTGAAAATACAAAAAGTTAGCTGGGGGTGGTGGCAGGTGCCTGTAATCCCAGCTAAAAGAGGGAAACTCCGTCTAAAAAAAAAAGGTACTTCCTCAACCTGATAAAACCTATTTCTTGTTTGAGACAGTGTCTCACTCTGTCACCCAGACTGGAGTACAGTGGCTGGGTCTTGGCTCACTGCAACCTCTGCCTCCCAGGTTCAAGTGATTCTCCTGCCTCAGTCTCCCGAGTAGCTGGGATTACAGGCACACACAGCCACATCCAGCTAATTTTGTATTTTTAGTAGAGATGGGGTTTTACCATGTTGGCCAGGCTGGTCTTGAACTCCTGACCTCCAGTAATCCACCCCCCCCTCGGCACCCCAAAATGCTGGGATTATAGGCATGAGCTACCATGCCCAGCCAAGGAAGTATCTTCTATTTCTAGTTTGTTGAGTGTGTTTATCACGAAAAGGTGTCAGATTTGGTTAAATGATTTTTCCACGTCCATTGAGATAATCATGGATTTTTTTTCTTTGTTCTAGGAATGTGGTGTGTTACATTAATTGACTTTCAGATATTAAAAAGATATTTATCCCCTGCATTCAGATAAATTCCAGTTGGTCATGGAGTATCTCTCTTCCTGGATTCAGGTTAATCCAGTTTTTTTGGGTGATTTTTTTTTTTAATCCATATTCGTCATAGATACTGGTCTGAAGTTTTCTTGTGTTGTCTGTGTCTGGTTTTGGAATTAATGTCCTACTGGCCTCATAAAATGAGTTGTAAGTGTTTTTTTTTTTTTTTTTTTTGGAAGAGTTTGTAATTGTTATTAATTTTTTTTTCTTTTAGAAGATCGGTGTTCACTATACCATCCAGGCTGGTCACCAACTCCTGGCTTCAACTGATCCTCCCACCTCAAGCCTCCTGAGTAGCTGGGATCACAGGCACAAGCCAGTGGACCCAGCTTTAATTGTTTAAGTGTTTGGTAGAATTCATTATTGAAGCCATTTGGGTCTGGGCTTTTTTGATTACTAATTCAATCTCTATTTGTTATAGGTCTTTCCAGATCTTCTGTTTGTGTCTTTAGAGGAATTTGTCCATTTTATTTAAGTTACAGTGTTTTGGGCCTAAGCAATTTTAAGGAGAAAGTTATCCTTAACCAAGATGGGAAAGGTCAGGGCAGGGTAGTGCAGGGATTTTACCTCCCACCGGGTCCCTCCCACAAACTCCCCCTAATATAATACCAGCGGAGTTTGGGCTGTGGCTTTGGATGTGTTGAGTCTCAGATGCCTGTTGGACCCCCTCATGGAAACGCTGGTGGGTGGTTGGATGAACAACTCACCGGCGTGGCCCATGTTGGAGACTGGGAATTGTGACCACAGAGAGAGCCTTTAGAGCTGTCAGACAGGAAGAGGCACCAAGGAGCCATTGCTGAGGTGGAGGGGAAGTTGAGGCGTGGTGCTTGGGCCTAGGGGCAGCACTTGGGAGTAGCCAGCCTGAAAGGTTGAGGGGTCTCCAGCTTACGGCCTGGGAGCTGACTCAGATTTGGCGAGTGCAGGTTTTGTGGAATGGTGGTGTATTAGTCCGTTTTCACAATGCTAATAAAGACACACCCGAGACTGGGCAATTTACAAAAGAGAGAGGTTTAATGACTTACAGTTCCACATGGCTGGGGAGTCCTCACAATCATGGTGGAAGGCAAGGAGGAGCAAGTCACATCTTACGTGGATGGCGGCAGGCAAAGAGCGAGAGTGGGCAGGGAAACTCGCCCTAATTGATTACTGCCAGATCTCGTGAGACTTACTCGCTATCATGAGAACAGCATGGGAAAGACCTGCTCCATTATTCAATTACCTCCCACCGGGTCCCTCCCACAACACGTGGGAATTCAAGATGAGATTTGGGTGGGGACAAAAGATAGGCAGGAGTTCTGAGGATGAGTATTTGGATTCCATGCCTGAGTTTGCTGTAAAGGAGAGCAGCGAGACAGGCATGGGGTGCAGAATGGCGTGTTTAAAATGGGAGTGATGACAGGTTCCCGTTGGAGTGATGCAGTAGACAGGATCTGATGATGGGGAGCAGGTGTCGTGTGCCCTTGAGCAGGAGCCCAGCAGAGAGACCCTTTTTCCTCTTGTAGCAGAAGAGAAGGCAGCAGGGTGCAGGACTGAAGGAGGGTTGGGCTGGGCTGGGATGGGAGCCTGGCTGGTTTTCCCCTGGTGGCCCTGGAACTGGTTAAGGGCAGGGCAGGGCAGGGCAGAGGCACGGCAGGTTGGAGGCACAGAAGGCCCGGGATAGTTATCTGGGCTGGATGTGGGGCAGTATTCTCACCTCCTTGGGGACATCCCTTAAGTGGACAGGAAGGCCAGGTGGTACAGGTATATGTCCACTCACCAAGAACACAGGATGAAGGTGGGGCCTAGACAGTGGCTGGTTTGACCAGGGCAGAACAGTTGAGGGCGCATGTGAGGATGCATGCTGACGCCAGACCTCAGTGGGGAGTGAGAAGAGGGGAGAGTCCAGGGACCAGAAGTCCCCCTAGGCTTAAAGAGCAAGCCACAAGGAGAAGAGGAAGAAGTCTCGATATCATCGAAGTTTCATTATCAGGGCTGCTATAATGCTTCTCATTGCTTATTAAAACCCAGTTCTGCAAGACCAGCCTAGCCAACGTGGTGAAACCCCGTCTCTACTAAAAATACAAAAATTAGCTGGGCACGGTGGCATGTGCCAGTAATCCCAGCTACCCAGGAGACTGAGGCAGGAGAATTGCTTTAAACCTGGGAGGGCGAGGTTGCAGTTAGCCAAGATCGTGCCACTGTACTCCAGCCTGGGAGACAGAGGGAGACTCCGTCTCAAAAAAAAAAAAAAAAAAAAAAAAAAAACTAATTCTGGTCCAGCATGGTGGTTCACACCTGTAATCCCAGCACTTTGGGAGGCCAAGGCAGAAGGATCGCTTGAGCCCAGGAGTTCAGGACCATTCTGGGCAACAAAATAAGACCCCACCTCTACAAAAAATAAAAATAAATAAAAAATAAAAAGCAAGAAGCAATAGTGTGCACCTGTGGTCCCAGCTACTCAGGAGGCTGAGGTAGGAGGATCACTTGAGCCCAGGAAGTCAAGGCTGCAGTGAACCAGGATTTTCCTGCTGTACTCCAGCCTAAGTGACAAAACAAGACCCTCTGACTCAAAAAAAAAAAAAAAAAGGAGAAAAATATTTTTGTTAGAGCAAAACAGGCTGACCTTTTTTTCTTTTCTTTTCTTTTCTTTTTTTTTTTTTTTTTGAGACAGAGTCTCGCTCTGTTGCCCGGACCGGAGTGCAGTGGCATGATCTCGCTCTGTTGCTGGGGCTGGAGTGCAGTGGCTCACTGCAAGCTCCGCCTCCCGGGTTCACACCATTCTCCTGCCTCAGCCTCCCGAGTAGCTGGGACTACAGGCACCCGCCACCACGCCCGGCTAATTTTTTGTATTTTTAGTAGAGATGGGGTTTCACCATGTTAGTCTTGATCTCGTGACCTCGTGATCTGCCCGCCTCGGCCTCCCAAAGTGCTGGGATTACAGGCATGAGCCACCGCACCTGGCCCTTTTTTTCATCTTTAATGTTGAGACCAAGTTACAGCATCATTAGACATAATGAAGGTAGAGGGAAGGTGCTCAGAAGTCTCCTACAAGCGTAGCACCAGCTCAGGCACAGCTCCAGTAACTCCAGGGCCCAGTCTTCTGGGGAGGAGTTGGATGGGCACATACCTTGAGGGGCTCCTGCCTGCCCACGGAAAGCACAAGAGGAGAACTCATCCTGTTTGCCCTGCTGTTCCCCTCTTGTTCCTAGACACATCCTGAGGGTCCCACCAAGTGGACATTGGCTTATGATACAAGCAACAGGATGAGGCCCCTGGACTTCCTGTTGCAACCTCACTAGCAAAATAGTGCAGTAACAGCAACGGCGCCCCCGCAAAGATGTCCACATCTTAATTCCTGGAACCTGTGAATGTGTGACCTTACCTGGTGTCTTAGTTCATTTGTGCCACTATAACAAAATGCCACAGACTGGGTGATTTATAAACAATATAAATTTGTTTCTCATGGTTCTGAAGGCTGGGAAGTCCAAGATCAAGGCACTGGCAGGTCCTGTGTCTGGTGAGGGCACCTCGTTGCTGTTTCCTCTGGAGGGAAGAATGCTGTGTCCTCACAAGGTGGGATGAACAGAGTGGCAAGAAAAAGCCAAACTCCACAGGAAGCCTCTTTTATAAGAGGAGCCCTAGTGACCTAGTCCTAAATGGCCCTACCTCTTCTGTCACCACAGTGGGTACCAAGTTTGTTGTTAGTTAACCTAAATAACAGAGGAGCTCTCTAAAAAGATATTTATTCAGGAAGAGGGCCTTGCAATGGGAACACGCATATTACAGTAACTGTGCATGTTCAAGGACAAAGGTTTTTTTTGTTTGTTTGTTTGAGACGGAGTCTCGCTCTGTTGCCTAGGCTGGAGTGCAGTGGCCGTATCTCAGCTCACTGCAAGCTCTGCCTCCCGGGTTTACGCCATTCTCCTGCCTCAGCCTCCCGAGTAGCTGGGACTACAGGCGCCCGCCACCTCGCCCGGCTGGTTTTTTGTATTTTTAGTAGAGACGGGGTTTCACCGTGTTAGCCAGGATGATCTCGATCTCCTGACCTTGTGATCTGCCCGTCTCGGCCTCCCAAAGTGCTGGGATTACAGGCGTGAGCCACTGCGCCCAGCCGGAAGACAAAGGTTTTAAAGGAAAAAAGGAGGATGACATAATCATTTTGAAATGATTACCCTTGACTGCAAAGATTAATCGCAAGGGCGACACCAGTCCAAGTTTGGAAGGTAGCTGCTGGGCAGGTATCCTTGCAGAAGTATTTTCTTGTGTAAGATTTCAATGACCTTGGCCAGGCGTGGTGGCTCACACCTATAATCCTAGTACTTTGGGAGGCTCAGGTGGGCTGATCACTTGAGGTCAGGAGTTCAAGACCAGCCTGACTAACATGGTGAAACCCTGTCTTCACTAACAACACAAAAATTAGCCAGGCATGGTGATGGGCACACCTGTAATCCCAGCTACTTGGGAGGCTGAGGCAGGAGAATCGCTTGAACCCGGGAGGCAGAGGTTGCAGTGAGCCGAGATTGTACCACTGCACTCCAGCCTGGGCGACAGAGCAAGACTTGGGCTCAAAAAAAAAAAAAAAAAAAAAAATACAATGACCTTTGTGCAAGGTTGTGGTTTTTGCAGTCTTTTGTGAGTTTTTGTTATCGGGCATACAGACCCTCTCTTCGTGGCCTTCCCTAGCTGTATTTGTTAGGGTTTTCTCAACATTGGTCACTCTGCTTTGATGCTGACAACTTTCAGTTTCAACATGAATTTTGGAGGGGATGACATCTTTTAAATCATCGTACCTGGTAAAAGGGACTTTGGAGATGGGATTAAGTGAAGGGCCTTGAGAAGGGGGTTTGTCCTGCATTATCCAGGTAGGTCCCATGTAATCATGATCATAAGAGGGAGGCAGGAGCTTCACAGTTGGACAGAAGATGTGACCACAGAAGCAGGGGTCAGAGGAGAGAAGATGCTGGCTTTGAAGGCAGAGGGTGGGGCCACAAGCCAAGGAATGTGGAGACCCCTAGAAGCTGGAAAAGGCAGAGACAGATTCCCCCCTACCCTAGAGCCTCCAGAAGGAGCCAGCCCTGCCAACACCTTGACTTTACCAGAGAGATAATTTAGACTTCTGACCTCAGAACTGTAAGAGAATAAATGCTTGTGTTTCAGCCACTGAATTTGTGGTAATTTGCCACAGCAGCTGCAGGAAACGTATACACGTGGTGACTAATTACTGAGTTCCTTCCCCAAACACACTCAGGAGCATGTAACCACCCCAGCCTCCTAGTGGAAGCACAGGTCCTGCAGAGAGGCCATGCCTGTGCACCCTAGGAGCCAAGGCCACCCTCCTGCATAGGGCACCACCCCCTGCACCTGCGCACTCCAGCCTCCACATGGCCCTTGGTCAGGGCTGGGTACACCAGTGAATGTTTCAAAGTAAAACGTCCCTTACTGTGGTAATTCTCAGCATTTTTTTTTTCTGGAAAGATATAACAGAATATGTTCATGTGTGACATGGGCCCATGGGGGTGTTTGGGATAGTTGCCATACCCAGCACACCAAGAAGGTTGATACTGAGAACTGGGACAGAAAAAAAATACCATCTTTACCATCACTGGCCGTTAATCAAAATTTAACATTTTCCTGAATTATGAATCTAGGCAACCAACTGCTGCAGCAGCATCAGCAGTGTCTGGGACTCCACCTCCTACAGAAGTCATGGATGTCTCACATCACATCACCATTGCTGCAGATGCCACAGAATACCATTCTGCTCATCATCGCTTCAAAATTACCATAACTCCTAGACCAGCTGCTCGATTACATTATTTAATGCATTCGTAAAGAAGCACATGCAGTGCTGTACCACCATTTAAAATTTGCAATGAAAGTCTTTTAATTTCATTTTTAATCTTTATAGGCATTAAAAGCATTATCTGGGCCGGGCGCGGTGGCTCAAGCCTGTAATCCTAGCACTTTGGGAGGCCGAGACGGGCGGATCACAAGGTCAGCAGATCGAGACCATCCTGGTTAA